CACGAAACGTGTGAGGGGTGTGCCGAAATGGGTGTGCGGGACGAATGCGGGCACACCCACTGGGACCTTCGGTGGAGCTCCCTATGGGGCCACGAAACGTGTGAGGGTGTGCCGAAATGTGTGCGGGACGCATGCGGGCACACCCACTGGGACCTTCGGTGGAGCTCCCTATGGGGCCACGAAACGTGTGAGGGGTGTGCCGAAATGGGTGTGCGGGACGCATGCGGGCACACCCATTGGGACCTTCGGTGGAGCTCCCTATGGGGCCACGAAACGTGTGAGGGGTGTGCCGAAATGGGTGTGCGGGACGCATGCGGGGGCAGCACTGGGCCTTCGGTGGAGCTCCCTGTGGGGCCACGAAACGTGTGAGGGGTGTGCCGAAATGGGTGTGCGGGACGCATGCGGGCACACCCACTGGGACCTTCGGCGGAGCTCCCTATGGAGCAGCGAAGCGTGTGAGGGGTGTGCCGAAATTGGGGTGCGGGACGCATGCGGGCACACCCACTGAGACCTTCAGTGGAGCTCCCTATGGGGCCACGAAACGTGTGATGGGTGTGCCGAAATGCGTGTGCGGGACGCATGCGGGCACACCCACTGGGACCTTCGGTGGATTCACTGATTGGGCCACGAAACGTATGACTGGTGTGCCGAAATGGTATGCGAGACGCATGCGGGCACCCCCACTGGGACCTTCGGCGGGGCTCCCTATGGGGCCACGAAACGTGTGAGGGGTGTGCCGAAATGTGCGTGCGGGACGCACGCGGGCACACCCATTGGGACCTTCGGTGGAGCTCCCTATGGGGCCACGGAACGTGTGAGGGGTGTGCCGAAATGGGTGTGCGGGACGAATGCGGGCACGCCCATTGGGACCTTCGGTGGAGCTCCCTATGGGGCCACGAAACGTGTGAGGGGTGTGCCGAAATGCGTGTGCGGGACGCATGCGGGCACACCCATTGGGACCTTCGGTGGAGCTCCCTATGGGGCCACGGAACGTGTGAGGGGTGTGCGGAAATGAGTGTGCGGGACGCATGCGGGCACACCCATTGGGACCTTCGGTGGAGCTCCCTATGGGGCCACGAAACGTGTGAGGGGTGTGCCGAAATGAGTGTGCGGGACGCATGCGGGCACACCCATTGGGCCCGTCGGTGGAGCTCCCTATGGGGCCACGAAGCGTGTGAGGGGTGTGCCGAAATGGGTGTGCGGGACGCATGCGGGCACACCCACTGGGACCTTCGGTGGAGCTCCCTGTGGGGCCACGAAACGTGTGAGGGGTGTGCCGAAATGGGTGTGCGGGACGCATGCGGGCACACCCACTGGGACCTTCGGCGGAGCTCCTTGTGGGGCCACGAAACGATGATCATGGTGGGAGGAGGGAGGAGGGGGAGGAGGAGGGAGGAGGCGGGATGCGGGACGCGGGGCGCTGTCTTTTCAAAACGAGGTCCCAACACCACAGGATGGTTGGGAAAAACTTCCTGCCACCTGGCGACCCCCCCCCACTCCACACCCAGGGGGGAGAGGGAGGGGAGGAGGGAAACCCCGACCCGAAGGAGAACAATGAGGGTTTGGAAGAGGAAGCTCCTCCACTCACGCCCACAGGGCTGGTGGGATTACTCGATGCGGAAATCCCGAGCAGTGCATCTCATATTCCTGTCACGTCTCGTTGAGGAACTCTGATTGAGAGCATCTGGGTGTGAGAGCATGTCAGCGTGGATGACCCGCGCGACAACGACGACGACACCGAGGACTTCAGTGACGTCATCCTCATCTTCTGGGCATATTTCGGGAGAAATGAGGGAAGAACAAGTGGAGGAACGATGGATCATTGGACCACAGAAAATAAGACAGCGACTATGATCCTGAGTGATCTGAGTGTGAGTGAGGCTGAGTGTGACTGAACACAGGTATGGGGGTATGGTTGAGAGCTGATGTGAGTGTGTCTAGGTATGAGAGAGTCTGAGTACGACTGGGTTTTGAGTATGAGTAAGTATGAGTATGAGTGAGTATGTATGAAAGTGATTCTGAGTGTAGGTACATGGTGAATGGGTCCGAGAATGAGACGAGTACGAGTCTGAGTTTGAGTGGGTCTGACACGAGTGAGTATGACTGCGAGTGAACTTGAGGGTGGGTGAATCTGAGTGCGAGTGTATCTGAGTGTGAGGTAGTTTGGGTGTGAGTGAGTCTGAGTACGAACACGGTGAATACATACGAGTTTAGTATGGGTGAGTCTGAGTACCAGTGAATCTGAACACATGTGAGTCTGATAGGTGGCTGAGGTTGAATGTGAGTGATTCCGAGTTTTGGTTCGTTTGAGTGCGAGTGAGCCCTTGTGGGCGAGCCTGAATGTCAGAGAGTTTAAGTGTGGTTGAGTGAGTATGAGTATGGTTGAGTTTGAGTATGGTTGAGTCTGGGTGTGATGAGTGAGTCTGAGTCAGGAGGAGGTGCTGATGTGTAAGTCTGAGTGTGCGTGCGCCTGAGTGAGGAAGAAGATCGAAAGGTAAGTGCGTGAGTGAGGTCCGGAGGCGCCCAGGTAGCACAAATCCAAAGACAAGCTTGGGGGGCCGAAACAGGCAAACCGCCTGAGACATCCCCACAATCTGGGAGCGAACGAACCCGTGAAATACGCCTGGCTGTTCCCCATTTGGAGTGCTGAAACCAGTGCCTCGCCTGAGAAGTCCGCACAATTTGCCCCGAAAGCACCGGATGACAGCAACCTAAACAGGCGAATCGCATCAGACATCTTCACAATCTGGGCGCGAACGGTTCCGTGCAATACCCCCCGGCGGTTCCCCTTAAGAGTGTTGAAACCAGCGCCTCGCCAGAGACATCTTGGCAATCTGCCTCACAAGCAAAGGATCTTGGGCACCCAAACAGACAAACCGCTTGAAACATCCCCACGGTCTTAGCCCGATGGACCCGTGTTATATCCCTTCGAGGCTCCCCCGTTGGAATGTTGAAACCAGCGTTTCGCCTGAGACATCCTCACAGTCTGCTTTGAAAGCAAAGGGTGTTGGGCACCCGAAAATTCTAACCGCTTCAGACATCCCCACAATCTGGGCACCAACGGGCCCGTGCAATACCCCCTGGCGACTCCCTCTCAGGAATGCTCACCTGAGACGCCCTCACAATTCTCGGAAAGCAAAGAGTGTTAAACAGGCAAACCGCATGAGACATCCCCACAATCTGGGCGCGAACGGGTCCGTGCAATACTGCATGACGGCTTTATTTTTGGGTGCTGAAGCCAGCACCTCCCTCGAGACATCCTCTTAGGCTGCGTGCGCGAGTGATTTTGGATATAAGTGAGTCTGATTGAGCAAGTGATATCGTTGAGCCTGAGTATGAACGACTCCTAATAGGAGTGGTCCCGAATACGAGTGAGTCTGAGTGCGAGTGAGTCTGAACGTGAGTGGCTGTGAGTATGAGTAAGCCTGTGTATGAGCGAGTCTGGGCGTGAGTGAGTCTGAGTGCGACGGGGGAAAAGGTGGAGGAAGGAGGAAGCAAGAGGAGGAGTCGACGCGGTCTGAGTAGCAAGCGAACCCTTTGATACATCCCCACCCAAAAGCTATGCGCGCACGGGCACATGTCATACCCCCTGGCGATCCCCCTTGGGAGTGCTGAAACCAGCGCCTCGCATGAGACATCGGCACAAACTGCCCCGATAGCCAGAGATGTTGGGCACGCAAACAGGCAAACCGCGTGAGACATCCGCACAATCTGGCCGCGAACGGGCCCGTGTCATACCCCCCTGGCGCTCTTCGTTGGGCGTGTTGGAACCAGCACCTTGCTTGAGACATCCTCACGAACTGCTGCGAAAGCAAAGGAGGATGGACACGCAAACAGGCAAACCGACTGCGACATCCCCACTATCTGGGCGGGAACGGGCCCGTGTCAAGAGGTGTTGGGCACGCGAACAGGCAAACCGCGTGACACATCCGTACAATCTGGGCGCGAACGTGCGAATGTCATACCCCCTGGCGCCCCCCCTTGGGAATGCTGAAGCCAGATGTTCACGCAAACAAGCAGACCGCTTGAGACACCCCAAGAACCTGAACCGAACGGGCGAATGTCATACTCCCTGGCGCTACCCCTTGGGAGTGCTGAGACCAGCGCCTTGCTTGAGACATCCTCAGAATTTGCTCCGACAGCAAAACATGCCGGGCACGCCAACATGCAAACAGCCTGAGACAACCCCACAATCTGGGCGCGAGCGGGCCTGTGTCATACCCCTTGGCGCTCCCCCTTGGGAGTGCTGAAACCAGCGCCTCGCCTGAGACATCCTCAACAATTGCTCCGAAAGCAAAAGATGCCGGGCACGCTACAGGCAAAAAGCGTGAGACATCCCCATCAGTTGGGCGCGAAAGGGCGAGTGACATACCTCGTGGCGCCCTCACTTAGGAGTGCTGAAACCAGCACCTCGCTTCACGGACTGCTCCGAAAGAAAGATGTGTTGGGCACATGCAAACCGCCTGAGACATCCCCACAAGATGGGCCCGAACGGGCCCGTGTCACAGCCCCCTTGCGTTTCCCTCTGGGAGTGTTGAAGCCAGCGCCTCGCCTGAGACATCCTCAACATCTGCTCCGAACACCAGAGATGCTGGGCACGCACACCGGCTGTGAGTCTGAGTGAGAGTGAGTCTGAGTGTGAGTGAGTCACAGTATGAGTGAGTCTGACTTCGAATGAGCCTGGGTATGAGGGGGTCTGAGTACGAGCGAGTCTGAGTATGAGTGCGCCTGAACGTGAGTGAGTCTGAGTTTGAGTGAGGCTGTGTGCGAATGCGTCTAAGTGTGAGCAAGTCGGAACACGAGCGAGTCTGAGTCTGAATGAGTCTGGGTCTGAGTGTGTATGAGTATGTCTGCGTGATTCGCAGTGGGGAAGAGGGGGAAGAGGAGGAGGTGAGGAAGAGCTTCTCGGAGGCGCCTGAGCAATCACAAAGAACCCCTACCTCAGGATACGGGGAACAAATGTATTCTGCTGCCCCTGCTTCTCTCGGACCCTGCCGCAGGCGCAGCACTGCCCGGCGGGCCCTCGCCACCTGGCAGCGGAACGGCCGCTGCGGCGGTCGTGCCGGACCCCGAGCAGCTGCGGGCCCAGCGTCTGGCGCGGTTCGACCAGGCTCCCACCGCAGCTGGGGCCCCCAGCACTTTCCCCACAGAAGTGTGCATACCATTCGTATCGTTGAACCGATCCCTGACCCCCATCCCCATCCCGATCCCCACCATCCCACCACCCCAGCTGGGGGCGATGTGCCCCTCGAAACCCGAAGGGAACAGCCTATACCCCCTTATCTAGGAGCGTAAGTCGGCCAGTGGGGCCGGGGCCACGCCAGTGGGGATAGGGATCGGTCAAACGATGCTCAGGCCGGATTTCTGAAAACGGTATGATACAGTTGGGCCATATCAGATCGGCAGTGGGAGCCCCTCCGATGGTTGAAGGAGCCGTGTGCTTCCACATCGTATTCAGGTTGTGGCAGTTCGGGCCACGTCACTTGTGTTCTGGGTCGGGTCTTGCATCGATTGCTCGTAGAGGAATGCGTCTCAGTTGGTCAGTGGAGCTCGAAGTCCGAAGGCCAGTCCTGGACAATGCGGCTCCAGATGCCTATTCCCCCCTCGGCTTGCTTGCCGAATTACAAGTCGAGCGGCAGTCGTCACAGAGGGTGGGGAGGAGGAGAAGCCGTAGCTGCAAGGCCGGGATGGGAGCGCGTCGGGCTCACTCCAGGAGAGGCAAGCCGAGGTGGGTTTCCGCTTCCCCCAAGGAGGCGAGGGTCCACGCTCGGGCCCACTCCCAACGCACGCCTGTCACCACAGACAGCCGGCCGCCCCTCCCTTCCTACTGCCTTTTGCGTCGTGTCTTCTGTTCGGTCCTCCCTCCATCCCTTTACCTTTCGGTTCTGGCTTCCACCCCCCGCAACCGCCATGTGGTGACCCAGCCTGAGTCTCGGAAGCGACGATACGTGCCAATATGCGTATTCGCCGGGGGGAGGAGGAGGAGCAGGAGCAGGAGCAGGAGCAGGAGGAGGAGTCATGGACTCATGGATCCAGAGAGTGTGCGATGCACACCGCACGCAGGCGGGCCGCAATGGCAGGCAACCTGCACCCCCAGCCTCTCCCTTACGGAAGGAAGCGGGCTCGAAGGCGCGCGCACCGACGAACAGGGGATGGCAGCTGCATCGTCCGTCGCCCAGAGACTTGCCTCCAGCCGAAATTGCGTGGTGCGTAGGGGGGCGGTCGTTTCATTTCGTCATTACGAAGTCTTTCCCGACGATCAACCCCTGCCTCATCAGCTGGCATGCGCAAGTGGGTTTGTTTCCGAGGGTGATCGGGCACAAGGCCACCATGGGACTTACGGGAGCTGGTCTAGCTCAGCATATCTTAGGAGAGCCAGTGGGGCCCCCCATCGCCCGCGTCGCGGGGTGCTCCCGCTGCCCGCGGCGCGAAGGGGCGCCGTGGGCCGTGGCATCCGCGCGGCGCCGCCGCGCGGCGCGGCTGCTGGACCGGCGCCGCGGCAGGCTGGGCAGCCTCCTGCTGCTCGGCGGGGCTCCGAGGCGCGCGGCGGCGCGCCAGGCACTCGCGCGCGATCGCGCGGCGAGGCCCCGAGGCGGCGAACCCGCTCGGGGGGCCGTCGCGCGGCGCGTGGGCGCTGCCAGGGCGAGCGCCGCCGGCGGCCGCGGCCGCTGAAGCAGGCGCACCGAGCGAGCTGGCGCCCCGCTCGTGCGGGAGAGTGGCGAGCGCCGCCGTCTGTGAGCAGCTCGACGGGTACCAGCAGCACGGCGTCGAGCAGCACGACGTGAACAGCGCCCCGTCTCGGACGAGAGAGACGAGCGGTGTGTTGAGCAGCACGTCTGCGAGCGGCACGACGGGCACCGGCATCACAACGTCAAGCAGCACGACTTTGGCGCGCTGATTGGGTGCTCAGGCGCGCTGATTGAGCGCTCAGGCGGGCCGCTCGGGGGGCCGCCGCTCATCCTCGCCCCCGCGGTCCCTGGCGGAGTCCTTGGGGGCCCCGCCGCCGGCGAGGCGCTCGGGAGGTCTCCTGGGGCCGAGTCTGAGCGCGTGGAGGCACAGATGGCGCGGCGAGATGTTCGAGCGGTCTCGCTGATTGAGTGCCCAGGCGTGCTGATAGAGTGCTCAGGCGTGCTGATTGAATGCTCAGGCGCGTTGTTTGAGTGCACGGGCGCGCGGATTGAGTGCCCAGGCCCGTTGATTAAGTGATATGTTTTTTCGTTGCAACTTTCACTCAATGCAGCAATGATGTGACAATAGCGTCCACTCAAGAGCAACTTCAGGCGCAGTCTCAACACTACGTCATTGAACTTGGATTTGAAGCCAATCGCGTGTCCACGACTCGTGGGCATGGTGGGTCGGCCTCTTGACCCGTGCCCCTTCGCTTCAGGGTTTCATAGTCGAATGCATCCCGTGTGCAGTTCTTTCATATGTTAGCAGCAGCCAAGAACAAGCCTTTGCAATTAAAGCGGGGGGGGGAAGAGTCAAACAGCATGCTCACACAGCTTTTAAGAAGCCAAGGGGCGAGAAAGTGGTATAGTTAGCAGGTTTCCCCTTTCCGGGCGTGTGTGCCGAACGTGTTCCTTGCCGCCCCCCAGTGCCAGTGCTGCCCTCGAGGGTTTCGGTGAGGCGCAGCGTGGCTGTCGGGGTGAATGTAGCAGGGACGGTTCGGGAGGGCGTAAGGGGGGGGGGGGGGGGAACGTGCTAATAGACGATTGGCGTGTTCGTCAAGTGCGCGGGAAAACGGTATGCCCGTATACAAACCTGCATGGTCATACCTTTTCCCGTGAAACGTGACACGCACGCCGTCTTCCGTTCCAGAGTTGGTTTGGCTCCCGCCCCCTTGCCACCCGCAAGTCATCTCTGTAGAAGCCGACTCAATGCTTGCCCAAGGTGCCGTAGCCCAATCAGGTATAGCAGATTTCCCCTTTCCGGGCGTGTGTCGCGAACGTGTTCCTTGCCGCCCCCCAGTGCCTGTGCTGCCCTCGAGGCCTTCGGTGACGCGCAGCGTGGCTGTTGGGGTGAAGGTAGCAGGGACGGTTCCGCAGCGCGTTAGAGGGGGGAGAAACAAGCTTATAGACCATCGGCGTGGTCACATGCACGGAAAAACGGTGTACAGTCGGCCCAGATTAGTAGGTCGACCTTGCCAAATCGAGGGTACCTGTGTGTCCTGTGTCTCGCGACCCGTGCCTCTTGCATCCCAGTTGCAATGTGGCCCCCGGAAGGGTATTTTGTCCTCTCGCGTGTTTTGTCACATGAAGTCCGATTGTGTGTACATGTACATGTACATATATATATATATATATATGTATAATATACATATATATATATATGTGTATATATATATGTGTGCACATATATATATATATATGTATATATATATACATATATATATATATATATCCTCAGTCGATAGTATCCTCGTCCAGGCTTCGTCTTGCGATTCTTGAGCAGCTTGTGAGGACGTCTCGGGCGACACAGGCTGCCGGCACCGGCGATCTCGGGCTCCCCGCCCCCCGTTGAGAGGGACTCTGCTGTAGCCCCCCCGTGTGGGATTCCAAGCGGCTGCCGGCGCCAGGCAGGCACGGGCCCCCCGTCCCCACTGGGGGGGCGTTTCTGCGGTGATCTCTTGGCAGTAGCAGGAGCCGTGTGGAGGACGAGCCATGGAGAGGAAGCGTGCTGCCAAGTAATTTCCATATGTCTGAAACATGTGTCAAACATGTTTCAGACATGTTTAGGACATGTTTCCGACATCCTAACACATTTTAAATTCAATGGTAGGACTGTTCGGGTGTCCGCTGTCGTGGCATCCACAACAGAAGCCTCTAGCAAAACGCTGTTGTGGAACAGAGAATCGCCGAGCGCGTTCCACTACTCGCAGATGGCCTAGAGCCCGTTCGGAAAACCTCCTGGCGATCACGGGCGTGACCGGCCCCGCCTCCCCCCCTTCCCTCACGTCAAGGCGGTCGTCCGGTGGCGACCGCGGACGTCCTGTGGCGCTCGCAGGCTACTGTGGTGTTCAGAGGCACGGTTTGGTACTCGCGAGGGGAAGCGGTTGCGTGCGTGCCGCGTGGTGCTCTCAGGGACGGAGTGTTGTTCTGTTTCTGAGAGGCATTGGCGCGTCGGTCGTAGCGCGGCGCTCGTAGCTGCCAGTGCTGTGGTGCATACAGGCACTGGAGCTCCTCCTCCTCCTCCTCCTCCTCCTCCTCCTCCTCCTCCTCTTCCTCCTCCTCCTCTCCGTGCGGCCTTTCTGATTAGAGTTTATCCTCTTGCACAAGGTGTCTAGAGCTCCGACCACTTTATTCCGCGTCGCACACACACACACACACACACACACACACACACACACACACACACACACACACACACACACACACCCCACACCCCACGTCCCCAGCGCCAGGGACCCCCGCGCCGTGGCTCTCTGCCCCGAGCTCCCCCGCCCCAGCGCCCCAGCGGGAGCCCCGCCCACCGCCCCCTCGTCCACGAACGTATTCCTCGTCGCACATCCCCCCCGTCCCGCGTCCCCAGCGCCAGAGTGGGACCCCCGCGCCGTGGCTCTCTGCCCCGAGCCCCCCCCGCGTCCCCAGCGCCCCAGCGGGAGCCCCGCCCACTGCCCCCTCCGCCACGAACGCTTTATTCCGCGTCACCCCCCCCCCCCCCGCGTCCCCAACGCCAGAGTGGGACCCCCGCGCCGTGGCTCTCTGCCCCGAGCCCCTCCGCGTCCCCAGCGCCCCAGCGGGAGCCCCGCCCACTGCCCCCTCCGCCACGAACGTTTTATTCCGCGCCGCGACGCACACCACCTCCCCCACCTCCCTCCCCGCGTCCCCAGCGCCCCAGTGGGGGCTCCGCCCCGTGCCCCCTCCGCCCCGACAATGTTATTCCGCGTCGCGACGCACACCACCTCCCCCCCCCGTCCCCAGCGCCCCAGTTGGACCCCCGCCCCCTGGCCTCTGCCCCAGGCCCCGCCAAATGCACCCTCCGCCCCGACCATTTTATTCCGCGTCGCGACGCACACCACCTCCCTCCCCTCCTCTCCGCGCCCCCAGCGCCCCAGTGGGACCTCCGCCCCGTGCCCGCTCCGCTCCGAACACTTTATTCCGCGTCGCGACG